AAAAGATTCATTTGTACATGCATTCAAAGTCCCCGTTAGATAGCAACAAACTATTTTTTCCATTGGACGTCGAGCGGCGAACGAAACAACTCGGTCGACGAAGCTGTGTAAACGCGAGGAAGATAATAACAGGTTAAATAGGCTACCGACGCGGAATAACGTTTCATTTGTTGTTTTTTTTTTTTTTTTTTTTGTATTTTTTATTTCTTTTGTTGCACATGGTCCGCGATGCCATTTCTGCGGATGAATATTCGGCAATGCCATTAACACGAGCGCGCATTCGTGCTCACGTAGGCGGGCGTGCACGGTCGCGGGAACCGAAAACGCCGAAATGAAAATTAGATAGCGAGGAAAACCACGCGACGTTGCGCAAACCGTGGGCCGCGCTAAAATATCACAATGCCGCGGCAGGTGCATTTACCGGGTTTCACCCACGGCTTTGACGACAGTCGCCAGATAGCTCTTTCATCCGGTAATTAGCCGGAGAGCCGGAGGAGTTATCACCTGGTGCGATCGTGACGGTGTGCACGCGTGTACCCTTCCCCTCCTTCGTCTATTCGAGCACTCCATTCCCGAGTGCTCGCTTAGCTAACTGTTACCCAGGCTACATCGTACTTCTCCGTTGGGTTAATTAATTAACACCCGTGCCGAATAATAATTATCGAAATGAAAGATGGTATCGGCAAGCTTATTTATTGGCACGCGGTGCTATCGTAGTTACATACGATATCGTGCCCACGGATCCCTCCTATCCCTGTTTCTGCGTCTATCGGCTTCTCTGTTCCCTCGTACGTACGCGCTACCATCGATAAGCCTATCTAAACGCGACTACCCTAATTGATTCATAAATTAATTTACCTAGCCAGGTCAATGTTTAAGCGTTTTGCGACGTTACCGCCCCTATTCGATGCTCGAGAGTCATCAGCATCACCAATTCTCCCTTAAGGGATCATGTCTAGTCAGACGACCAAAAAATAAATAGGGAAATTTCAGAATTTTTTTTTCAAAAACTGTAAGACCTTCTTTAAGAAACTTTTCCTTGAATGAAGGATTTCGCTTTCTGTTACACTTTTTTTCATTTATCAATAAAAAACAAGTGATTTTATATTTCAAAATTATAATTTTACAGTTGAACGTTTGTCATTTTGATTGTAATCAATATTTCGAGAAATCCTTCATTCAGATATTAGATAATTTATTATATCAATTAAATATTAAATGACAAAACCTTTTTTGACTAGACACGATCCCTTAAGTAACCAAATATACCAGAGAAATTTTCAAATATAGCGAATCATGTTCGTCTGCTCTATTAAAGGTTAATTATAATTAAAAATATCAGTAATTTTACAGCGAACGTGAAATGAAATTTTCAAACACAATTCTATTAGTAATCTCATGTCAGGTATAAAAAGGAAATTTTAAATTTCAAATATAAAAATGGTCACTTCTCTTTCTGACATCTCACAGCTTTAATCATTCTGTCATTCTATTCAAGTTTCACGCTACTCTCTCGCGCAAGAGATCGCACCACCCCTCGGGAGACTCGTATATAATCCCCGAAGACGTTCATAGATTTTTATCCGCGTTTCCACGATCTTTCCTTTCGCTTCAACGTCGTCTCCCTTGACGCGTTTTCCACCGTCTTGCTGTTTCGCGTTGTCCTTGTATTATTCAGATTGTTTCCCATCTCGGCGAAGTTTCAACGTTTCCCTGCATTGTTCACGGGCAGGACCGATCGGATGTTAGCCAAATGGCGAGTTTACTTAACGCCAAATATAATTATTGTATTATTTACCAAGGACCGTATTATTGCTAAAAATTGTCTACCTACTGTAGCCTTTCAAGTGAAGGGGTTAAAACCAGTGACCGCGAATGTGGAAAGGATTAAAAAAAAAATAGAAAGGAAGAACACAGGGGAGTTTACATTGGTCAGAAGGGTGGGTCAGGTTAGTCCGATCAATTCCAGACTCGTTCAATCGACAAAAGCCACAAGTCAGGGGCCTTTTGCCACAACGAAATACAGGTGGACGACAAATATCGTCCCTTTGTATTCCAGCTTCCTGGATATTGGTGGCGTGCAATGATCTGCTTGGTACCCGTACTCCCGATAATTATGTGCCAATTAAATTTAACGACTATCCATTATTTCGGTCTGTGAACGCGCGTACAGCCTCCTCCCTTCTCTGCAACCCCCCATCGATATCTTGCTCTTTCCACCGACTCGACACCCCTTACACCATTTGCTTTCCCCATACACCGGCAACAACTAGCCAGCCCGAAATCCAATTACCTTTTAATATTGTCCGAATGGGCCTGGAATCGAATTGCCTCTGCAAAACTGCACACACACACACGGTCATGGTCTGAAAAACGACGAAGGATTCCTGCCAGCAAATAAATGTTCCTTCGGTCTATCTGTACCTTCCTTCTCACATACGCTCCCAGCTGAGTGTTCTTGAACACTGCCACCATCTCCCTTTCTCTCTTGCAACTTTCCTCCACCCAATGGATTCAATAGGGTAAAATGTCGTTCGACATTTCCAATGGAATTGGAGTGCCGATCCGGGGGACCATGGTTTTACACGATTAGACTTAAACGCACGTAAGTGACAGGGAGCAGGTTTGCACCAGGGATACGTGATCCATTTTAAAGTCTGTAAGATTTACTTTTGTTATAGAGTTGCATATACTAAATTGCTATGAAAAATGATGGATTTCAAAATGTAGAAATATAAGCTGTCAGATTTTTAGTAATTAAATTATTAGTGTAGCAATGATAAATTTCACTTTCAATTTTTCGTTAAATTATTTTTATATTAACATTGATCCCAAGACTTATTTTCATCAAATGAAGATGCACTTCTCCTTCATTATCCAACCGTGTAATTGTTTTACCCACAGGCTCGTAAACGGCGAGTTTTTTTCGCTTTTTCGGCTGGTTCTCATTAAGAATTCAAGCATTTCAACCACAGATTTCCCCCTTGCCCGATCGTAAACAGCAATCGTTTTCCGAGCCCATTAAAAGCGTGATAACAACCTATCGCTGCCTTCGAAATTTAATTAGCGGGACCGATTTAAAAGAAAAGTTCATAATACCGATGTTTACCACGCAAATTGACGATCGCAAATCCTGGTCGCTCACGCATGTACACAGGGTAATTAATTTTATTCACAAACAACGTTATCGAACCGACCATTCTCGGTCTTGGTGAAATTTTGTAGCTGTAGAATAGTCAAAGATAAGAGATTCTCTAGAATCACCCTCTGAAAATCACCCTTGAATATCATTAAAGATAAAGATACACTTATTTTAGTTCAAATATGAAAATTGAATGCGATAAAAGATTGATCTATTCTTTAATCAAATTTGGATCATTTTCAAGTAACATATTGCCGAGCGAGAAACGGTATTCCGTAAAGGAGATCCCTATGCGCGCTGCATAAAAATCATTGGGCTGTGATCCACCCTTCAGATATATTTAAATTCCACAACGAAGCGAAACGTGCCCTTTGTTTCGTTTCTATCAATTTTCCGCGGATTCGTATACGCCAGTTTCCACGGATATCTTGCTTTATGTAATAAACGTTGATTGAAACGTGACCCTTGCGCAAAATGGGCAACGGAGAAAATATTATTTTACCACCGTCTGAATAATTTTTTCAATCCATCGTTAGGCTTAATAATGAAAAAAAAACTTGGAAATTATACAATACATATCCTTCAAATACAATACCTCCATGTTAACACGCTCTGTGCTTTTAATTAATTAATTCAAAATTAATTTTAAAAAGAGTATCCAAAAATTACATTTTCTAAGTATAATTAATTCATCAATAATACAGCACAAAACGTGTTAAAAAATATTAAGGAAAATTTACAACTGGTTATTTCGCGTTTGTTTCGTTATCGGTATTTTTCATCATGCGATACTTGCTTGCTTCTTTCCTTTGTACAAGTTTTAAAAAAAAAAAGGGTAAAACAGCATGCTGTCCGAAAAAACAGGCTATCCAATAAAAACCTTACCGTCCGCATGGTACACGTTAATAGCGTTGCGGATCTTTCCGTTCCTCGGATAAGATTGCTCGTGGCGGTAGACAAGCTTGACATTGTAACTTCTAACATCAAGTTTCGGGATTGAAGTTGTAGGATTGATAGGGGGGTGCAGGTTGTCGGGGTTGCGGGTACAAGGAACAGTCGATAGGGTGAGCACCAACACAGAGTGACCACTAAACACCTAACAACCAACAATAGCAGCCAACATCGAACATCGATAAACCAACGAAACTAAACCAACCACAAGTCACATTGTAACGGAACTCAGCGAACAGTGAAGACATAATATATAATATACGTATGTATACAATATATAATATATCACATACGAAATATAGAATACAAAAAAGTATACATAACGTTGATTCACGTGTAAAATACGTACGTGTTAGCGAAGAATGCCACTGCTTTCAATTGTAATTAACATTTTTCTTTTTCTCTCTGTTTCTCATTAAAAAGTGCCAATCAACGAATTCAAAGGATCGTTGAAACTCGTATGAAAAAAAAAAAAAAGAAATAGTTAATTAAACTGTGATTTGAATGAAAAGTGAAACTCGACGATGCGGTTTAATTAAGGGGAATAAATATACCGGAGGAAAATTGACCCCGCATAGATGGCACACATTTAACGAAAAGAATAATTATGACCGAGCCGAGCCACGTCGATGCAATACAAAAATATACAGAATCGTTTCATCAAGATTTCATGAATTCATTTAATATTTCGCTTCTGCGTTTGGAGCACTCTTCGCTACACGTGCGTTCGACCACAGCCGAGGGCTGATATTGTCGTAACGGGTCATGACACGAGGTTTCTCATTAAAAAAACATCGAGGAGCACTAACTGGTGAAGGCACGACAACGTAAATAGTGAAACACGTTAAAACTTATAACAAGGATGACATATCTTCAGAGACACCGAGTATGGGGTATGGTGACGTACCACATCGAGTACATTGAGAACGTGGTTCACGCGGGCGACTCTAGTAGTGGTAGTTGTTGTTACATTGTGTGTTGTGGTCGTGGCAAGAAGAAGAAGAGATGGAGGAGGTGTGCGGCGCCCCCGGCCAGCCGGTCGCCCGTCACACCCTGAAACAGAATAATATTGTCACTTCCGTGCGGAATCACGCCATCCCTATCGACTATTCCTGACGGATCTGATTTTTACATTTATCACGCAGTCGATGGCTAGCATTCAAAAATAATTATATTTATTTGACGGCTGGCTCTTGGTGTCAAGAGTTTCGGGCCGAGTCGCCCAGGAAATGCCCTTAATATTCAGGCCACTATAGTTAGCCCCACTTCTCATTTCCTTTTATCCTTTTTATATTCTCTGTTAAATAGACAATTATAAACGTACATATGCCTGTACCGAGGGAAATTAAGTACATATTTAACATTAATTATACAATCATGTATCCAAATCATCTTATCGCACCGTCATCTATATTTTCGTTTGAAATTGCACGTGTCACACGTGCGAATTATCGAACATGTTACAGATTCCTCACGAATTAGCCGGGCGCGTAATCGATGAAGATACGCGAGCTTTTTCCTGTCCCGATGAATGGTCGACGGAAATATACTGGCACCCGCCGCAAGCATACGTTTCATTTGTTTCCCAGCGAAGCGTTTCCGAGCTTCATAAAAGTTTTCGTGGCAAAGCTGATGGTATGAAATGAAACATAGTTCTCGAACAATGACCCTTTATTCCATTACCGGTCCCGATCAATCTGTTCTTGCTCGAAAATGACATTTTCCCGGCGGCTGCGTCGAAAACGTTGCGCTTTTCTGATTTCACGCTTCGAACGAATGATTTCTTTATTCTCTTCTGCCGATCAATCGTCCAGAAACGCGAAGTAATTAACGATACTTGTTGTCTTTGTAATACCTCCGAAATTCTTCGAATACCAAGCAATTTCACCGGTGTGACCCGGGGTGCTTGTGCCGGATGGTTTGCTCGCAGAAGGTATTGGCGCGAAGTCGCGCTTGACGGAGGGGACGAAGCCGAAAAAAAAGGGGGATAAAGCTTTATATCTAGGAAAAGGGGATTTCGGATTTGCTGGACCGTGTCCACCCACTGCATCGTTTACGTCCAATACAAACGAACGGGCGAATGAACGGACCAGGGAGAAGGACAGATTTCGGGGCGAGGGTGCTGGTTACGGAAGGGGGTAGAAAGCAAGGGAACGGTGGAAAGAGGCGGGAGAGGCTGAGAAACGGGAGCAGCGACCGGGATTTTAACGTCGAGCACACTCGTTTCGAGTCGATAGGTCCACTTCGGCTGGCTTGGGAAGCAGTCGACATGGTCCAGCAACTTCCTCTCCCACCTCGAACCCCCTTCTACCCTTTCCTCTTGCACTCACCCGGCCCGAGACATCATCTCCGTATCCGGAAACAGGGCGAGTTTTCATACGCTCCGCTCTCGCGATTAATAAAAACTCGTCCCGATCTAACTGGTTCTGTAGCATATCTCTGGAGGACATGGTATTCGGAGGTAATCAAACAGGTAGAAGAAACATGGACCAGTCGATGTAACGTAATTGATCCAGCAGATAAATTATTAGGAGTGTGTACAAAATATTTTTATCAACCCCTGCTGCACATTTGAAACACATCTTGATTGTATATTATATTTCTTCAAATTTTAAAACAATTCGTTTATAAAAAATACTAAATTCGATTAAAAATTAAAAGGAAGTCTTTAGAAACATAATTATTATTTTGGGTCATATAGATCTGAAGGGAGGCAGGTTAATACTTTATAAGTAGTATTTTGCACTATCTCAATTTTTTTAAATATAATACAATACTATCTACGTAAGAGCGATAGAAACTTCCTCATTCCCTCGATAGATCCAAAAGGGGAAAAGATCCGCGTCCGAGGTGAAAATCTTTCCGTGATCGTGACACGCATCAGGAACGGAAGTAAAGCGTTCGACGTACAAGAGTTTTGTTCCGTTAAGTAAGCAACCAGAGAAATGGTAAGAAATAAACGAGGCGTGTGACGTAAAAGAGTGGTTCGTGGGAATTCAGCCGTATGCTGTGTCCCAGTAAGTGGAAAACGTGAGGTTTGCTTAACCCTAGAAGCCTTCAGTTTACGACAACTTATACAATTCGTTCAACTTCTATCAAACTGCTACCGTTGCTAATGGCAAAGAACAAAAGAGAATGATTCATGGGATTCTTAATACTTTAAAAAAATATCCCGAAAAGGATCAAGAAGGTACAAATTCGACACTGATAAAAAGTAAACAGAAAAAGAAAAGAGGAAAGTATTGGAAATAATTTGTCCGGTTGATCGAATACGTTAATGGAATACATTTTTTATTTCAATGAAAGCCTATTCGTATTTTAATAAAGATCGAATTACTAACGGATCAACAATTCACGAAAGTTCGCTGCCGAGAGATCAATATTATCAATGTAAAACAAATACGGGTGAACGGATTGCAAATGACGTTACAAGCAATCCATGCGAATAATTAAATATGCGGCTCGAATACTTTTGGGCGAAACAAATCACTGAAACTCCAATGGAGAATAAAACCCGTTTAGTATTGGAAAGGTTGAAATGGAAATGGATCGTCCCGGTGGAACGGGGGGGGGGGGGGCCGCTTTTTTATTCATCCTGCACGGCAGACGCAGTGAAATTTTATTTAATGGTGCTCGCATGTTGAACGTGGTTCTTTTTGAAACAATGGGCCCGATGTAATCGAAGAAAATCCTCACCGCGGTTGCGGTCGCTTTCCGGTATTATTAAAATCATTATTTCCGTCTCTCGGTATTCGTACGGAAATAAATAGGGTGCGTGCAGGGGGTTGACGGAAGGGGATACGGGGACGTATTACTTTCGAGAGACGAGGAAAATGGACTCGCGTACATATCAAGCGGCATTGCGAATGCATGGAAACGAATAGACGGAAATATTACGTTGAAAGTGAGAGAAGGGACGGATAGAAGAAAGAAGAGACACTACAGGAACAGACCAGAGAAAGACAGACACTGTGAATGTTGGAAACTTTGTATGTAACTTAAAACCTTTTTTTTTTATTATCACCCCTTTCCTACGATTCACAGTATGATTTTTAAACGAAAGAATTTCATATATTAAAAGAATAAATTTTGAAGGAACAGTAATATGAAATGCAAAATTGTGTTATCTCACTCGCATAATTCTTTGCAATCTATATGAAAAAATTATATTTTAATTTGAATTAATTACCCTGAATAGAAAATAGTATGAAATACAGAATTGAATTAAATTAAAATTGGGTCTCTCTCCATGGTCCGCTGTCCGAGGGTTAAACACTCGAAATCAAAGTTGAAAGAATGTCAAAGAATAATTCGATCAATCAACAACATTTCATCGAAATCAGCAAACTACCGTTTCATTGGTGCATCGATCCAGTGCGAATTTCGTGTACTGCAGTAAAAAGCATCGGAGACAAATTGATCGAACCGGGTCGCATAATCAATCGCCAATGGGCCGGGGGCTATTAAACATATTCAATGAAGTAGCGATTGACAAGGGACGCATTCTGTGATCGACAGAAATTGCGAGGGACGTGGTCCCGTTTCAACGGGCGAATGCCACGGCGAAATTAATCACGCCGCATCGTTTCCACGATTGATGGTCGCGCGAAACTCAAAAACCAAAGGCGTAAATATTCAAGGGCCGCGGCCTGATTTCTATTTTGCGATCGCGTCGCGTCCCGCCGATCGGCGTTGTTCGAAATAAATAACGAGGACCCACCCACGCCGCATCATCCCCTTGCTATACGTGTCATACTGGACGCTTGTCCTCGTATCAAATAGAACCCCAGGGAATTACGCCACGAAGATCTGCTACGAATGGGGTGGGTTGACGCGGTAATACTGGTTATCATCGCGCTGATTGCACCCATACCATACCATCCCATCCCGCGATCACCACCGCTACATCCATCGACTATCTTCCAGTGCTACCCTGCACCTGACCCGCTATATTTCCATCCGAGCTATTCATTACGTCTATCCTGCAGCGATCCTTCCTTCCAGGATCAATGTACGAAAATTGGCGGGATGCGTGGTAGCTTACCTCGCTCACCTTTTATCATGGACATGGTCTGATGATGGTTCTCTATGGTTACAAAAACCTATCTACGTTGAATTTCGTAAAAATAACTTCAAAACTTTATAAATTCATTTCAATTTTATAAATTGAATTGCAGTTTCATTGGTACACAGATATGTGACAGAATCCAATTAGAGATTAGGTATTCATTAAACCGTGCAAGCAACTTTCAACAGCCTTCAACTGGTATCGTGACTAATTACACGCGTTATATTAGTCATGTGATTCACTAGATCTGCACGATTTTGAAAGTAACAGAATGAAGGAGGAAATTTACCAATCACCTTCCGAAATTGGCAATGCTTACTTAGCTTTCATTATCTACGGAAACAAAAGTGGAAACCATGTCGACCATCCATGACTTGTTGTGTAACGATAATGGATGATACAAATGTATAAATAAATATCAGTGGCGTTAATGTACGATTACCAAACGGTGATAGGATCGATGTAACTCGTATGTGACGATGGACGCAATTGGAAAATGTGGAAGTGAAACGGTAATAAAAAAGTTGCAGTTGCAGCGTTATTTGCGCTCGTAAACGCGACTTGCTCACAGCAAAGGTAACGAATGGGAGAAGTCGAAACGGCCACACCTTCCTCCGAAATGCACTCTCTCAAACCTACCTCGTGCACCCTGTCAATCTCTGTCTCCGTCTAGCTGGTTGCACCCCGCTCGCGCCACATCTCCCTTCGTGCAAAGCGTGCAACGCTTATGTACCTACGTACGTACGTGTTTACGCTTTGAACGCGCCTCGCCAAGCGGAACTAACGATAACGAACGGTTACGAATGTAAGGGACCGGTTCGCAAAGCAAACGACATTTCAACCGAGCGTTCCGCGCCGCTCGTGCAAGAAAAGAGGGAAGGAGAGGAAACGAGGCTGGCAAGGGAGGAACAGATGGATAGAAAGTTGGATAGGTAAACAGCGAGAGCGATGGCGAGGCGAAAACGTGGGTGGTGAAGCTACCACGAGGTCGAAAGAAACGAACCGGCGATGAGTTACACTTTTACCTTCGAACAGGAAAGCTGCCAAGGTGAAAATTATAAGATATTAATTGGACTTGTGACTATATAGGTTCAAAAATTATATTTTGAGATATTTTTAAAAAATAATTAAAATTTTAAGAATAATTCATTTGATTAGCAGTATCAAGCTCAATCTGATTATAATTTAAATTTCAAATACAAAACGATTTATCATTATGTCAGCAGCTACGGGTATGTTAAACTAGGAACTTGGAAATTGTGCAATTCATCGTTTAGGTTGTTCACGCTTTGTAAATCTGTAATTACCTCTGCAGGTAAAAGAATTAGAGAATTTTGTTCTGTGGTTTATGTACTGTAGTAAAGTGCATCGAACCGCTACTGTTTAATGCAGAATACTGCTGTGTATTCTGGCTCAACCGTGTGTGAATAGTTTATTATTAAGGGGATAATTTGAAAAATTAAATCAGTACATTTTTGTTGTATATATTATCCTGCTATGTTTACTAATTATATGAACATTCCTGTGTTCGTGTTTAAGCTGTTAATTAAAATTCAGTATCTGGAATAATTGCATGTGTGATTTTTATGCAAGTTGAAAAAGGATTACATTTAAAATTTTTATATTTCGAGCAAATTGAAAATTTAAGATTCTTGAATATTTTAAGTAAGACTAATATAAATTTAGTAGATAGAATTTGTCAATCATTTTAAAATTTATTGCACAAACTATGTACATGGTCGATTATTTGAAAAATTGACACGTTAATAGTAGCTAAACTAAACTAAACTTCTGATCTAACTGAAATAGGCAATCATTCATTTTTTTATATGAATTCATGTAATTTTATATCATTAATATTATTACACGATTGACCCCAATATTCAGTTCTGACACGCATGTTTATGTAACACTAACTTTCTCTAACGGCGTATTACGTCAAGATTTTATTTCGGCCAATAACCTGCACTGATCTTATTAGTTCTCCAACTACACATTACCTGATCTACTACCTAAGGATATCACGAAGCTGTCTTTCAATGTACGTGAAAGGAGCAATCAAAATCGGCAAGAGACCATAAAGTAACAACTGTGTTGGGGTTACAAATATTTTCAATAGACAACTCATTATTATTACATAAGCAATCATTGACTTGAATGGCGCTCTATAAATAGACTTCTTGATGGCATTTATTAACTATGAATGACCATACTTCCACTCTAACAGTACTCACTATCATTCGACAATAATTAAAAAATTGATAATATTCCATTTAAACATACCAAAATTACCATATAAATTCATTGCATCAGAGTGATTGCTAAGTTCACCTAAATGTCAAAAGAATACTTAATTGATTCCATAAAACCTGTAAGAGAAAGAAGTACGTCCACCTCCAACTTGTCAACCTCAGCAACTAATTAGTTTACGAAACGTTAAAATACCTACCCGAACTTTATTATATAAAATTCGTTATTTTTCTACCATGCAACCATTCAATTTCCCAGAAAAATACAACATAACCCAACAGCTTTATTAGAATATTATTGCAACGTAATACCGGTGACGCCAGCTGAATCCGGTGCAAAGTTGCTGGCGAACTAATAGCGAAACTACAGCCGGAATGTAGCACTTAGTTTATGGGAACCTTGCGGTGGCCTGGTTCCGAGTGCTCGGTACCTGGCCGAGCGGTATCGTCCACTTGGATCGTAACTAGCGACAGCAATAACGGCAATACGGCAACAGCAGTGCAGCCGATGTCCGCGTTCCCGTGGCCGTTACCGTCGACGTTCATGCTGGCAGACGGTGCCCTCGCTGGTCCAGGTCCCGAGCAACGGGCGCATCTGCATCGAGCCGAGACAGGATAGTAAATTACACGTTGACTAGAGCTGACAACCGCAATGCGTGCCACACACTGGCGGTACACCGGGCTTCTGCACGAGATGCCCGTGTGTTTATGCGCCCTGTGAGTCCAGCACTGTCAGCCAGCCTAGGCCGTCCGGTGAATTATAGATGAGCTGGTGCCTTAATAAAGACACGAGAGATGCCCGAAATTCTACCGACGTTCCATCGCCGCAGGAGCTCCACGAATTCCTTCCAATTGCTCACGGATACCGCGTGAACTCGGACTGCGCGATGGCACTTATGTGACGCCATAATGGTACCTCCTCGTAATCTAACTCAACAACGGTCGAAAATTATGTTTACGCGGAAAAAGTAGCACAAAACGAGTGTTCAGCGCTACTGCGAAGGGTTTAGTGTAATGTCTGTTTCTTTGGGACACGGACAACGAGTAGAATTCGCGGAAAAAGAGGCAATTTAGCATGTCCGTGCGAAAAGCCGTGACTGCGGTATACACGATTAATTCCACGATTAAACTTTAAAATTTCATTCCCGGAAAGGAACGATACGTTTAACGCCCCGCTCTGCTTTTCTTTCGACTCTTTTTCCCTTCGCCTAATTGGAAAACGTTCCCTACCGAGGAAACGGACCTCACCTCGGTGAACCCTGGTAATTGCCCGCGATGAAAAGTTTCATGCAACGAACGCGTGATCGTTCCACGGCTTCGTGCGAACAGGCCCTTTTGCCGCAATCGCAACCGATCAAGGTTCCTCAAGATATAAACGAAATACGGGTTCTTCGGGTTGCTTGTAAGGAGATTCGAAACGGGCCATCTTTTTCATCTTGTCTCTCAGTTCGGCCTTGTACCACAAAACTCTTACTAACCGCTGGTGACCGGAGTGTACGGCGTCGAGGTATCAGTGCCAAACACCGGTAGTTATGTATATTAGGGGCAGTAAAACTGATGCAAATTTATTTCGAAATTCCGCGCCGCTCTCGTAAAGTCGTTTTAAAAGTATCCTCGTAAAGCGATCTCAGACCGTCGCCTATCGCTTCTTTAAGTAATTCCACGTCCCGCCCTTAAGGTAACGAGTTCGATCGTGAAACAGATCGTTCCTGGCCAAACAACGTTACAAAATTTTACGCGATCCACTGGGATGTATTCAAATATCAAACACGATGTCGTGATTTTACAGGTCAAATTATCCTCCTCCCTTCGACGTTGTTCTCATTTATTAATGAAATCGATGGAGAAATTTAGGGAGAAAAGATCTCCAACTACCGTATGCCCTTTGAAAAAGGCATCAATTCGAATTAGACGGAGGGAAAAGGGAAAAGGTTTTCCAGCATACGTGCTGGAGTAGGCCGATGGGGGCGAAGGGTGGCAAGGATGGCAGCATCGAAGGGGAACGAAAATTTAAGGGCAGCCGTATATTATCGCGACGAAGGGGTTGTCTGAGGTTAACTGCCAGAGCTTCGTAAAGGGTGTGAGGCTCGGGTAGTGTTGAGGGTAGCTAGAGAGGCGAGGCTGTGCCATGAATATGCCGCCATTAGTCACACGCCGAACTGCTCCGTAGAAAGAGAAGTAGGTGACACGAATTTCCCGGCATTGCGCGCCCTATTGGTATCCCAAGGGTGCCGCGGCAGTAACGCGAACAATTCCTCCTGAATGCGCATTTATCTCAACCAGCCTCCCCCTAACCCGCGTCCACCCACGACTACTGCCTCGACCTTGCGCCACCCAAAAGGCTGATAAAACTTCCTGAAATCGTCGACGAGGAAAGGGCAGCGTATCGATTTTGTTTTGCAGGGGGGAGAAAAAAAAAAGAAGGAAAGAATAGTCGCGGCTGTGTCGCGAGCGACACCTCTCTGTCTCTGGCGAACGACCTCATCGGAACATTTGGCCTCCCAGTGACGCCCCTGTCACTCGCAGACCGCGTCGTTACATCTCAAAAAGCAGCAATGAAACAGTAAACTAAATTGCTACACGCTCGCCTGTCACTCGCAGAAAGTCCCTCCTACGCCTCGTGGCTTTATTCACCCCACGGTTATACGATTCTCCGTGTTTACATAGTTACCGCATGGCTTTTCGTGGAAAAAGTAATCGGAATCGGTAATAAGCTTGTTCGTTTTGGACGTCGGAAACGATCGATGGTTGGGTAAACGTTGTTCTGTATGTACGCGTTGAATACCATGAAACCGTATGTGGAAGTTAAATTATTAAAAGGGAAGAGAGAAAGAAAATATTGAATACCAAACTTATATTATTTACCTAGGGTAGCAAGTGGAAAACTTAATTTGATGAAAAATGAAATTAATTGCGATTATAACGTGTCTGATTACAGATAACTCTTTTAGGAATAACGTGATATTTTATATATAACAGAAAAAAATAATATTTAGAATAGGATTTTAAACGTGTATTAATTAGTTAAAAATTACGTGAATTAAGTGAATGATTCTTTACATAAATTACTTTTATTCGTTACTTGAGCATAGTCTACACTTGCAAAGGTGACCATCACACGTATTTTTACCACCCACACGTATTTCGCGTTAGTATATATGAAGGCTTATGTACGGAGGAACTGTTGAGGTAAATTTGATTGGTATAACGTAATTTATCTGATTCATATCCGGTGCCAGAAGGTAGTATCCGGCGTTCTATGTCTCAAGCCGGAAGGCTCGCAATTTGTCCCTCTGATAATATCATCAACCTTCCCTCTGATTATACGGAAGTTCGTCTCGCTGGGTTTCAAGGTTTTATTTATCGTCTTTTGTAGCCTGTTTGTGTTGAACCACAATTCTTCATCGCCGCGGCTGTTTGCGATTACTTTGATGCCGCTCACGTACTGCAGCGTCTCCTCGTCTTGAGCAATTATCACGACGTTCTCCGGTGTAAATGGTTTCTCAATGTTCCAACAGGCGATCGCCGTTAATTGAACTAATTGGAAAAATATTACCCCTCTTCGTGACGTTGCCTGAACGCCCGCCTGGCTTGCACGCTTGTAATTCGATTCGAACACTTTCGGCTCGCTGTATTTGCTTTGCTTTAAAGAGTACGTGTCCGTAAACTTTTCGTTATAACTGGCCAACGAGTTGAAGTACAGGTATCTGAAAACCATGTACCGGGTGACTGAATTGCTTAAACACCATTCTCGGACGATTTTAATAAAAGTAGCTACATCTGTGATTATTCCAGAATGGCACAGCCCCATATTAATTAATATTATAGAATACTAATATTAATTTCAAGAATGTAATTATAGATAAATAATCTCGTTATATTGCAAGGGGTAATGAAAATTTTCAACTGACTGTCAGTATGAAAAATGGTACTTCGAAGCAGACCTAATTTACGAACACGTGTGACATTCAGTGGAGACTGTATATAACGAACCGTGAAATAAAGTTGAAAATGAAGGCAATACCTTTCGTCGAAAAATCCAATCGGCGACAATGACATGCCGAGAGTACCGTCGGTTAAATCAAACCATTCGCCGGCGATCGTGATGTTCATGGCATCGTCATCCGGGCCGAAAGCGTTGCCAGGTGTGTTGTTTACCCGCCACGAATAATCGTGATACAAGTCATAAATCAGTAGACCATTTTGATCAACATCAGCGACGTACAGATAAGTATCAAGACACGTTTTTCCGACATCCACGATCGGCGTAACAAATGCTGCCTTCCCGTCTAGTGCTTGATCATTCGGCACCACGTATTTATGGATCAACCGATCGGTAGCTAGATCGAAGATCAATATTTTCGTGGGACAAACAGTATTTCCACCATTGCGGCCGGTATCCACGACCCACAAACGATTGCACTCGTCTATCTGAACAGTCGATTTTGTATTTTTTTTTTTTTTTCGTGCATTTAGCATGATCGCGAAGCAAATTGAATTTATATCACGTAATGGAAAAAAGAGATTCTATTTATTAGCAGAAATGAAAAATAAATTAAGCTCTCTAACGATAATTAGATTGGCAACTAAATTCACTATCTTCATATTCTCTTCTTTACAAAATTATTTATTAAATTTGAGTAATTTTTCATTAATTATAGAGAATTATAAAGCAACATGTGTAGATTGATTATAAATTTAATTGCCAACATAATACATAAAAGCAACAAAACCATAACAGTTCAAATTTGGTAATTTTCAATCAATGTATCAATCAAAAAATTCTACTAATATGAGCCCTATCAATATTTACCGCCAACCTATACACAGAAATAATGCTGTCACAAGAGTACGGTGTGAACCAGGACCAGTCAGGATACGGTATCAGCAAAGGGCCCCCATATCCAATGGAAGGAGTTATCAAAGACAATGAAATTGGTACTCCTTCCAACCACTGAGGACTGGTAACGAATACACGACCATATTTATCAATATCCACATCCTGAGTAAACGAATTTCCCAAAGTAAAATTTTTTCCCGTCAACTGAACATTTGGCCAGACCCAATCCAAGTATTTCCACTGAAAAACAACTTGGAGCCCTTCGGCCCTGACGCACTGCAGGTAGCCAAGGGCCAGAATGAAACTCAATAATCGCACCATCACGAATACACAAGAAAACCGAATTTCCGTCGCGACATATGATCACGGCTTATGGAACAGTCAGATAGGTGGAAATTCACAGACTAGTGGGATTGGTTCGATCTGGTTCGCGATCCAAAGTAAACTGCTTTACAAAGCGGTGCAGAATTCTTGACAGTGGCATTACTACCACTGAGACCAACCACTTTCCCTGCTCGAACGGCTCGAAAGTGTAGCTCACCTTGAACTGGATACTTACGAGACAGACCAGTCTGTTTTTGCCATTTGTTCAACCGTAATTCATCGATAAAAATCATCGATGATTATAGGCTGCGCGTATGAACCAGCAAAGAGTTACATATGTTGGCTGAATGCTACTTTGTTGAAATGATAGTGTCTTGGAAAATGTTTTTATGCTTTCATCGTTGTAGCATAGGCAATCTAATTACTGATTTATGGGTAAGGGATAAGGGATGTTTATGGAGTTTATTCTATAAGAAAATGAGGAAATAGAAAATAGGATATTAGAAATAGAAAAAATAGGAAAATATTTCTTAAGAAGATAAGGAAGTAGATAAAATTTCCATGAGGAATATTTTCTTATTTCCTCTTCCTGATTTGAAATTTCAAAGATATATCTTTACCTGAAAATGAAATAATGATAACGGTCTTGTAAAATTAAATTAAATTAAATTGATGCGTAGATTACATAGAACATGGATTAGATAACTTATGAACAATATAAGTTGTTCTTTCTATGAAAAAGATAAGAAACTACATTACATAAAACAATCTAATAAATAGAATCTCTTTTTTCCATTACACGATTTCCCCATTTCCTCACTTTTCATGTCCCTCTTTCTTTTTTGTTTTCCTTTCTCCTTCACCTCTTACCCCCTTTTCTCATTTTCCTATTTTCCTATCGCTTTAAGAAAAATATTCGTACAGGTGTCCTGTGGCTTACAAACAGGGATGTGTACATGCCATTCAAGTGAACATGTTAATGCATTATGACATACATTGTATCGTTACAACAATATAATTTCCAAGTATTTATTCAATAGATGGAGATAGGAACTGTCAGTAGCATTGGTAACGGCCGCGTCGGTACGTCAATAACGAATGCTCGCCGAATGTGGTCATGAACGCATTAGCCGCTGCGTGATCCGAAAGTGGATCAGCTATTTGAAGGCAGTACACGCCCACCTGAAATAGAGCTTTGAAGGAACTATTTTCGTGCCGATTCCCTAACACCACGGTGGTTATTAGAACATGTTTGCATTCGATTCCAGCGTCTTCTACGCGCAAATTGAGACTTCCATGCAGCGCGACTGCAAATTGCGGAAGCATTACTTGCTCACTACTTTTTTTTCTTCCTCTCGCGCTCTACTGTTCCAGTTTACCGTCTCTTAATCACCAGTTTAATTGCACTGAGTAATATCTGACGTAAACGCGCGCACATGAAATCGAGTGAACGATGTAATACGTGTATTTCAGCCTTTTGTCTGTTAATCGACAATTTCTAATAATTTTGCAAAGGCTTCATTACAAATATATTTGCTATAATGGAAAGCTGAAAATGGTTTTAAATAAAATTATAAACTATTGATAAATTTTAACCAAAATATTTTTATAATTGTAGATGATTTTTTGTTTTTATTTTATTTTAATTTTTCTTTCTTATATGAGATGAGTTTCGATAAAAAACATGTTAGTATGAGTTTACAAGAGAAATCTTATTTAAGAATGTAATTGGATATAGATATCCACATGGTATTGCATCAAAATGACACTGCAACATTGGGTGGCCTTACGTTTCATGGATAATGAAAAGCTTCGCGTAGGAACTGTTTTCAACTGTTATGCTACGTACGAATCACGCGATACTCTCATAATCTCCGTGCTTTTCATGGCAGACAGCAACTAATTTTTTCCACCGACCCTTCTCGATTTCGACTCTGAATTGCTTTACACGCTCTGCCACATCTGACCACCAACGCTGTGTTTGCTAAGGAGAAGTGGAAATCATAAATCACCTGGCTAGTCACGATTAAACCGAACCAGAAGACAAATGGCTAGTTAATTTCAATTCTGATGCGAAATCTACGATGTCTCTGTTCTATTTGTAATACAGGTGTACGGATAGGCATTTTCCTATTTTTCTATTTTCTCTATCTTAAAAGACATCATGAATAATAACGAATGACTTGGTACATTATACATAAACCCAGTGTATTTTATTAGGAAATTAGGGAAAATTAATTAAGTTAATCAAATTCAATTAAACATTAATTAGTAATGTATCGAATATACTCAGCTCTATTTCAAATTAAACTGTTTGTTTTAAATAATTCATAATAATACAATATTCAATTAAATGTAATGTAAGAAAATTAATTAACAAAGATATTTTATACTAAATGAGAAAACAATTGTAAACGAACTGAACACCTTGTTCACGGTTCACATGACTGTTAAATATTTTCTTTACGATATTCATTATTAAAAGGAAACATAAGAAATGAAAAACAAGAATGAAAGCAAAAACGTGATTGATTCAATGTTGAGCAGGAAATCAGTTTTTCTAGTATCAGCAATTCAATGAAACGCTGCTCAATTATACGACCAACATGACACGTTATTCATCAGCCTTTGCGCACACATTTTCTCGTCGAAAGTGAAAACACGGTCTTTTCAGGAAGCTAAAAAGAAATGAGAAAGTGTACGAATGAATGGAGCACGAGTACGTGTATGAAGTGGCGTTTGCAGCGTCAACTATTTGGGTCAATTAGTTCCTCTAAGATACGTCCAAGACGGAACAGGAATTTAATAACGAAGCAATAAAACGTCTTTAAACAGTACTAATGAGAATAGCTTATGGAATTCCTTTATGCAATAATCATACAAACGTGAATAAGCGAACAAAGGTGAAATAAACGTACTTGGAATTTCTCGAAACTACGATTGCACCACCTAATTGCACGAACTCCGTTAATTATGAGAAATAAAAATGCAGGAAAGAAAGTGCATAAATGATGGAACACAAAGGCAAGAATTAAATTTCCAGTACATACTTTAATAAATAATGGTGCCATAATATGTTGCAAACTTTATAAATTATTCTTATTTTGAAAATGTTAAGTGAATAATTACCTAGTTTTATTACTAACTTTGTACAGAAAAGATTGCAGTCAAAGATAGAAACAGATACCAGATAAAAGTACATGGATTGTACGAGTTAAAATTTGCAATAAAACGGTAGAAAGTTTGAATGCACGAAGCGTATTAATCATAACTGTGTGTTATAAAATCTGAATCTATTCGGCTATTGTAGAGGAAAAATTTCAACAAAGTTTCATGCAGTTCTAAAGAGACATCCAAATTTCAATGCAAGACCAAAAATGACTGACATTTTAAAGCCGTGGTTGTTGAAAGACCGAAGGTGATTGAGGCATGCTACTGGCACAGATTCAAATATGACCTAATTACGTCTTGCAACGTAGAACGATCTCTTTTTTGCATATAAATTAATATTAAAATATCTCAATATTTTTGTGTCAGAAGTAACACTATATTATGTACCTGAAGAAATATTCTATCTACGTTGGAATGTATGAATATTATTACTAGTGAAATTAAAAATTTCAACTTTTTTAAGCCTGAAAGATATTTCAAGTCTCTTACGCGATTATAACATGCTCGTCAATGAGTTTCTTTTTGCAGCGAAGATGCCAAGGTGAACTTCATTTGCTTGAATAAAACATAATTCCACGATTATTAAAAACTGAAGGACCTCTTAAACCGAATACATCCATATAATCTTTTTTAATCATGACATATGCTATTCATATGCATACTCTTTGCCATATAATCTAAAAAATGAATACATAATATAATGTATGGATGATGGATTCCTATGGAAATTCAAACGTTGCCCACATGTGGGAAATTCTATAGGAAAATTTTATAGGAAATTATGGAATATTGTCAAAGAATTCTTCTTAATATAACTGATGGATTCCTATAAAAATTCAATTAACCCTCGGCCTATGGACCATGGAGGGAACCCCAATTTTAATTTAATATTGCATCTCATATTATTTTCATTTTCTAAACTTTACATTGTTCTCTTAAAAATTATTCTTCCAATGCATGAAACCCTTTCTTTAAAAAATTATACATTTCATTTTGAGTTACTGCCCCTGATTTGTTTTGCAAATATTAAAAATCAAATGAAAAAATTCCACAGTCTGCATATAGAGTAGCTAAAATTTACTCCCCTTTTTCAAAGAAACTAAAATATTCACTGGATACATTTACAATCGTTCAAGCCTCTTCACTGGTCAATCCTAAGCTTCATAAAAAAAGAAACAAAGCAATTTACAGCGATACCGTTCGTTATTCCCGACGGCTCGAACTTCCGAACTGCCATTCTACGTGGAAGCTTGCGTCGTACGATTTTATGTCGACAAGAGAAGAGAGAAAGTCCCGCAAGATGCGTCTCTCTCCAGTTGAAACAGTTCTTCTTCTTCTTCTTCTTCTTCTCTTCTTCTTAAACTGAGTTTGGTAAACCCTCGTACAAGTTGAAGTTCTGACCGTGCGGGTGGCGTGGATGGGGCGTAAGGGTGGAGGCGTCGTAAAAGTTGGGCGAAGTCAATTTTGCAGTTGAAGTTGGTAATGCGATTTGTGCCGAAATAAATAGTTCGAGTGGGGTGCGCACAGGGCACCATCCAACCTTTACTCCCATTTTGCTATACCTCGTTTCCCTGACGGTGTCTGACCCGTGGACCAATCCACTCGAGTTCGGTGTCAGGGGCACGTCTGTTGGACCTACTGAACGTGACAGCCTTACCGGAACAAGTTTTACGTTAGCTACCAGACGAACGTCAACGAGTGTCTACGTAACGAAATAAGGAGACTCATTACTTCCGGGATATTGCTGAGTAGTTGTATCTTGACATAGTCGTACGAATAACAAGCGCCTCGACGAGGAACAAGATTAAATCAATGAAAATATCTTTCGTCAAATATTTAAAAATTTATTTTTACTCGATAAAAAGAGGGAATGGTAAATTTTAATTCACGAATGGTACTTTTAATTCACATAGGAATAATTAAAAAATGTATTAAAAAGCATTTCTACTAACACCACGAAAGGCTTTGCAGTTTTCTAAACCGTGTTCCTCGGGAGGCG